CACTGTACGGCCGCAGACACATTCTGACAGCACTTCAGACAGCAGCTTTGTGCCCCGCCAGCTGCTTGTTCCATGCCTACCATGGTGTTTTTGTACAGACAGCACTTCAGACAGCATTATGCTGTAGTCGGCAATCTTCCGTTTTGGTATAGAGTGGGACAGGGAGGGGGTGATGCTACTGTAGTCGAACGGTGGGACGGACGTGCAGTTCAGTTTTTGGGCACGCATACGGTGCTGCAGGGATTTTTAGGTGTACCTCTTCGGGCTCTTGCATACCTTTTTCTCGTCAGATGTGTGCGTGTTCTTTAGATCCTCAGATGGCTCTAGCACTTTCGTGACCACGGGCTGAGAGTCTTTTGCTAGATTTTGGCATTTAGCAACTGACATACGGTTTAATGTGAAGACAAACAACAACAACAACAGTCATGACCAAAGCGTTGACATCGAGGACGTAAGATAAGACTTTGCATGTAGAGGCCAATGAAGCATTGTTCGACGTGAAGGATGATGTCAACAGCAACAAGAATAATAGCAATCGCGACATCCAACAGCACAAGAATAAAAATTACTGCGGTAATTTATATTTCCAACAAGATGGGACAGTCCTGACGACAACGACCGGAAACGTCCTGGGTGATTACGGAAGACTGATGATGATGATGATGATGCCCAGCGCCTGCGGTCACATGGGCGATACCATCGGCCCCTGCTGCTCCCCCATTTAAAGCTGTCAAGGTGTTGCACGGACGGTGCCTGGTTCGATTGATGCCGAGCGTTGAATCATGGTGTTGGCGACGACGGAGAATGATGGTAATTCATGACGAAGAAGAACAGGACCACCCAGGCAGGAAGCAAATTCCCTCCTTGGGCAAGCGATGCCTGACTGACGATGGACATGTATATCTTGTAGTGAGGACAACTCACTGGTTGGTCTGATTTATCACCACGCGGCACTACGCGCCATCACACCATGAAGCAGACGCTGCTTGCTGTGCATCGTCATTATCATCATCGTGATGGAGACGTGGGCCGGGCAGAGGGCTATTTTCTCTTTTGATATTTAATGGGGAGGGGTGGGGCCGGGGCCCCGGGGTGGACGACGAGCGAGTCCAACAAAAACAATACCGCGCGCGCGCTCTACTGCTATTTACTTTAGTCTACAGTACGTCTACACAACACGAACAACATCGAAAAAAAACACGACCGCACGAACAATAACGGGGCCCGAAAAATTCCGCAGTTGTTTTATTGGCCAGAATTCCGTCAGTTCATGGTTTTCATCAAATCGGAAAACTCCCCCAAAGCGAGTTCGCGGCGTTCCGTGGGTCGGGCGGGCGGGCGGGCGGGTCGGGCGGTTGCTGTCTGTCGAAATTGAATGGGAACGAAACGAATCGTAGTACATGCATATTAAGTATGCGTGTTCCGGCAGGAAACAAAACTGAAGGGAGGGGCGATTTTGGTCTTCTTGTGCTCGGTTGGAAAACGTACCGATCGATGGTTATCGGGTTTTGGTAGAGACTACGACGACGAATCGAAAAAAACTCTGGGCGACGGGAGGGGGGGAGGGGGGGGGCACCGCGGTACCGACCAACAAAAGAAAAAACGAAGAGAACAACAAAGATGCAGCTCCGCAGCTCATGGCCAGGCCAGAACCATAGAAAGCAGACCAGGTGGTACGGCATTCCTGAGATGCGCAAGGCTCACCTCCGCAACGAAATATAGCCAGATTACGTGCGGCGGGCGACCTACATCAACAGATCTTCAAATCCTCAAGGGGGAAAGGAAGAAGGAACACAAACAAACATCACTTCAACACCTAAGCCAGAACATTAAAACCGATGGATATCGTTACAATCTGTTCACTATTCAGAAGAGTGGCCCAAACGCCGTAAACGCAAAAACGGCGATGGATAAGATGTCGTCGGGCCAATGGCACCGTTCGTATCTTCACTTAGATCCCCAACCATCCCCCCCGCACACACAACAAAGGGTTTAATTACACGCCGAATGAAACGGGTCTGTCTGCCAGCCAACCCACAAACAAACCACGCACCGGCGGCGGCCAAGTGTGGAGGGCACGGGGTGTTTCAAAACACTGCTGCAGCCACTGCTATTGCCTCCACTCACCTTGAGCACACTTACCTTTGCACCGTCGCCTCTTGCGAAAACTTCGGGCGGGGGCGTGGTCCGTCACGGCAGCGAGAAAGATGCATCCTCTCTCGCTTCGACACCCCCACCTAACCGATAGCAGCAAGCAGTCGTCCCGTCGTTTGTGGCACAGGAGAGCAGGAGGATAGTTTAGGGTCGACGGAAACCGAAGAAAGCGATTTGCTGCACGCGTATGTACGTGTATAAAGACAAGAGTGCACACGTTGAACTTGAGGCGACTGGCCATGCAACCCCTATTGCCTGTGTGTGTTCTTCTTGTGGTGTTTCAAAGAATGTTCTCGAGGCCCTACAGCAGTCTACAAGTTACTTACGCCACATCAAGCAAATGTCTTGTTGTGACGGTTGTCGTAGCAGAACACACACCCCGCAAAGAAACCATTGAGTCTTGTCGCATCGGCCCTCATGTTCAATTACCCTGGGCGAGAACTACTGAAAAATGACACAGCACGGGAGAACGAGGCAAAGGCTCGACCCCTCACACGTGCCGTAGGCCCTGCCTACGTCGCCAATGTACCACGACAGAAATATCTCCACCTCTTCGAGCCAGCCAGGAACACGTGGTGCGCTCGCCCAACACCGATCCCGCAAGCTGTAACTAACCCCCCTAGGAAGGAGCGATTGGCCGTCGGTGATCGGTCCGGTGAGAACAATGCTCCGTCCTCTCGAGGACGCGTGGTCAATGGTCTTAAGCGCTTGGCCAAGGCATGCAAAACGCGAGAGTACCCTCCCTCGGAGACACTCACCTAGGCATGCTGGATGAATGAGAACATCGACACTCGACACCGGATCCATTCCACCCCGGCTTCTGCACGTCTACGGCTAACAAGAAGTCCTTGAAGCCTCACCTTCCACTACCGCAGGTTGTGCATGCTCGACAACGACCCCGCGCCGCCAACGCCGCCGCCGCCGTGGCCCGCCCCCTTCCCGCGGGCCTTGGCGTTTGGCGGGGACCCGAACATGTCCCAAAACCTCAGGGTCTCGTCGGCAGCCGCGGACACGACCGTCGAGCCGTCCGGGGAGGTGTCCATATGCAACACCCTGCCGGGTTGTTCGATTGTACATACATTCGGATCAACAAAACACGTCAGATGCCGGTGGGATGAAGGAAGGACCGTCATTTCTGCGGTGTGAGAAGATGAAGGAAAGAGAAGGGTCAACAACGATCAGGAGACACCGAAAAACAACGGAGTTAAATGAAGAACCCCAAGCCTCGTGGGTGTTCTTTTCACAGGAAGCGCAATCATCCTCCGGAGATATTGCAGCGGAACAAGTTAGCCGCCGGAGGCTTGGGTTGGGGTTGATTCTGCAGAGGGGGGGGCTCCGTGTGACCGATGCAAACCGTGGGTTTAACCCCCTTGATTCACGGCGGCATCGTATCCTACGCTTGTCGTTTGGACCTCTACGATCTGCTATGCATACATACGTCCAGAGCACACACGCACACGTACACACACAAGCATCGTCCCATGGAGAGGGCGCGCCTGCGTACATGATCACTTCTGTTTCCAAGGAGCAGGAGACGGGGTGGGGGCAAGTCACATACATACACACGTCACCTCGAAGTGTGGCCCCTGAACTCCTTGATCTTGAGCATGTTCGGGTACTTCCAGAGGCACAGCTGGTTCTCGCTGAAGCCGTGAGAAGAAACGAGCTCCTTATTGTGCTGAGACCACTGAAGGGAACACACCTTCACTCAAGACAACACAAGAGGTGCATGCATGCACGCACGCCGTAGACCCGGGTTAGGATGATCGGGGTGCGGGACTCGCGTGGGAAACGCAAAACCCCACATGCACGGAACGGAGGCAAACACACCCCAGGTGGACGGCTAAGGATGATTGGGGTGGACGGGATGCACAAGGCTCGCGTGGACGGAGGTGTCCGACATCACACGCACACACAGAGCAGAGGAAGGAAGCCAAGCCCAAACGACAACAGCGATGACGCCGAAACATAAAAGTGGAGACACAGCCCTACCTACCTATCTCGCCTCGTTAGCTGGAAGAAACAACACAAGCAAAGGCATTCATCCACGAGACAAAATCGCAGCTAGATGCCGCTATGTACATGCCGGCGTCTAGTGCTCCGCAGCATGGGCACGTCTGTCACTCGGAATACCTGGCTTCCGGTGTCGACGGAGTTGAGCATCGCACCGTTGGCCGTGTTCCAGAACTGCGGTACAATTGTAGGGCGAAACAGCAGTGTGATTGGCGGAGGGGGTCAGTCAATGCAGAAAAAAACATTTAACACATCCACCAGGACGTAGACGCGTGCGTGCACGAATGTAGACACCTGGGGTCGGGAGCGATCTGTTGGGTTGAATGGTTCCCGATGACCCAGCAGAAGGATCAAAGAAACGAGGATGATACAGACCAGAAAAACAAGTGGTACGGTAAGGCATTATTCCGGACCACACCTGATGACCGACCACGCGACAAATCGCGCGGAAGGACGGAGGCAGGTCATTCTGAAACCTTCACCGAGGGCAGTACCATACATCCCTAGCCACCCAACCGGTAGTCCCGGTGGTCTAGTGATAAATCCTCGTAATCCGCTAGTCGCAGAGGTCGTGAGTTCGAATCCCCATGGGGTGAACTGAATTTGCGGGTGAAAGCAAATTATAGCTGACAAGCTCTCGTGAATACCAAACTTCGACGTTAGCACCGTTGACGAGGGAAAGGGACGGCTGGACCCTTCTCGTGATTAATATAACATTCAGCACGCACCGCAGGAGGAAGGTGGGGCATGAAAAGAAATAAAAAGAAATAAAAAGCCCTGGTGTTTTACCCCCTCCTGTGTGACCCTGGATGGTTGTAGTTGTACGAAAAAATACACTGAAAAGTGTAGTTAGTACTCTACATACGCTGAAAAATGAAAAGATGTTTACCATCGGGGTTGGGTTTTCGTCGCTTGGCAACGACGTTGTAAAACAAGCCGCCCCAGGGGGTTTGCCATCGGGGTTGGGTTTTCGTCGCTTGGCAACGACGTTGTAAAACCAGCCCCCCCCTCGGTGTCCGCCCCCCCCGGTGTTTGCCATCGGGATTGGGTNTGACCCTGGATGGTTGTAGTTGTACGAAAAAATACACTGAAAAGTGTAGTTAGTACTCTACATACGCTGAAAAATGAAAAGATGTTTACCATCGGGGTTGGGTTTTCGTCGCTTGGCAACGAC